CGTGGCGCTTTACGGAGGTACAGCTCCACACCCGCCTGCACCAGTTCCGTCCACACGTCGAAGTCTTGCTGGCTAGTGTAGGCTGCCTGTGCGCCATGACCCAAAGCAGCGAGGGCGTGCAGCAGGGAACCGCCACTTATGATTGTGCTGGTGGTGGGGTTGTGGTGTGTGGGAGAAGTGTGCTTTGGACCGAGACCTGTAGACCTGTAGGCCTGCATTTGGTGGATTCACGTTTTCTTGCTGCAGGATGTGTGTGAGGGCTTCACGACATGGTGATGGACGGTTGGTGGTGGCGGGGTGATAAAACGGTGCTAGCTACTGTTCAACAGCTACTGTTCGGACCAGTGTTGCACCATGCACGGACCGCTGCTGCTAGTGCTGCCTATTCCCCCTCTCGGCGTACATCCTTTCGGTTCACCCTTGGTCTCCCTTGGATCTCCCTCGCTCTCCCTTCCTCTCTGGGCCACAGCACACACTTTAACTTTGCTCGATTCAGCCGAGCGTACATTAGGGGACTAGGAGATTCATCTGCTTATTATACTCATGCTGCCGACAGAGATGAAGCAAGTGACGAATTGAACATGAGTACGCGAGTACAAATTAACAACACCCTGCTGAACCTGCACAATAAATACTGGACTGCCTGGTCAAGGGTACCTATGCAGATGGCAGGTGGCGACAGTGCGGGGAGGAACGTGCAGCCGGGGGGACGGCCGTGCATGTCCCGCAGCCGTTGGCTATTTCACGGGGACTGGAAACTGGATGGGACTGGCCGATTGAGGGCCTAATTTGGCACCTACAATGTGCGGAACATGTTTAGTCTACACTTTGAAATTCGTTACCCTAGAGTTACCTCTTACCAGCTAGGGTTTGGTTCCTTTTCTCTTTGGTCACGCTCACTATATCCTACTCCTCTTAAGAAAAGATAACTAGTGCAGTTCGGCACCTTGTAAGAAGCTGCTGGTCGTCATCTTCCGTTGTGAGTTTGGGTTGACTTTCGAGTAGCGTGACCACAGCTTGCGGGGCTTTCGGCCTTGTGGTAAGGATTGCAGGGTGGCAGAGTTATTACCTCCAATTGGCAGACACATATGGCGGACTACCTAAAAAATGTATTTATAACACGCACTTGCTCCCATGTCCAGAGGTCGGCAAACGCCACGGGTACCACGGGTCCTTCCGTTGTACCCGTTGCAGAAGTTCAACTCTATTCTTCATCATGGATATGGCAGCCATACGGCAGGGTGCAGAAATTTCCCCCAAAAGGCAGGTTTGCACAGTTTTGAAGCTATAAACTTCATCATTAGGTTACCAGACACTCTTTCCTCAGCTTTTATCAAATAAATTTCCATACAGTTATTAGACCCTGGCACCAGTACCCGTGACAGTTATTCAGGGTTTGCCAACCTTTGCATTGCAGCCATAATAGCCAAAGTCATACATTGGAGCACTAAGACAGGTAGCAAACACTTAAACTAACCTAAACTTCACTTATGATGCATTCACCAGTTATATTCATGCTTTCCGTTGTGCTTCCGGGGCTGCAAATCTACAGTACCGTAGTGCTACTTATAGTTCGTGCTACAATAAATCGGGAGGCACCACGAATATGTAGCACGTACAAATTCTAAGGTATCCCAAGGGACTGCAGCCCCGAAATATCGTACCCTCCGAAGCCGGTCGATCAAACTTCGCAAAAACTAGGATTTCAAGGCGGAAATCAGCTCTTAAATACATAAAATATAGTTTCAGCCACATGAAGACACGTTTCAGTAGCGACCACCCAAACACTGTATTGGCCCGGCCGGTTGGTTATTAGGTCGTTGCCACTGGTACTGAACTGTACGATCGGTCCAGAATTTGCTAGGGCGTTTCCAAAGTGCGAAAAT